TCCTACTGCCTCAGCCTCCTGAGTAGCTGGAACTACAGGCATGCACCACCATGCCCGGCTAATTTTTTCTATATATTTTAGTTGGCCATTTAATTTCTTTCTATTTATAGTAGAGACGGAGTCTCACTCTTGCTCAGGTTGGTTTCGAACTCCTGACAATCCGCCCGCCTCGGCCTCCCAGAGTGCTAGGATTACAGGCGTGAGCCACTGTGCCCGGCTGAATTTACTTTCAAAGTGGAAAAATATGAGAAGATTAATGACAGTGACTCAAACACTTATCAATTATACTCAAAATTAAGATTAGCAAGTGTATAAAATGTGAATATAAATTTTGTACTATAAATACTTCCTGTTGACATCACTTCAATAAAACATCTTCACGCCTTGTAATCCTAGCACTCCAGGAGGTCGAGGCAGTGGATTGTTCAAGGTCAGGAGTTCGAGACCAGCCTGAGCAAGAGACCCCCATCTCTACTAAAAATAGAAAGAAATTGTCAGGACAACTAAAAATATATAGAATAATTTGGCCGGGCATGGTGGTACATGCCTGTAGTCTTAGCTATTTGGGAGGCTGAGGCAAGAGGATTGTTTGAGCCCAGGAGTTTGAGGTTGCTGTGAGCTAGGCTGACACCAGGGCACTCTAGCTGGGGCAACAGAGTGAGGTTCTGTCTCCAAAAAATAAAAAACAAAATAAAGCATCATCTATCACATTAAAATAATATTGTTAATTTGAATGCTATTGGCTCAATATTGGCACAAAGTTTTATGTTTGCAATATTGAAGTAACATCTGAAAATAGTTAAAATTGTTGCTGAGTGTTTTAAAAAAATTTTAGAGAGAGAGATGAGAGAGAAATAGAAAAGAGGGAGCTGCTGAGTGTTTTTGATTTCTTTTTTTCTTTTTTTCTTGAAAGAGGTTCTCACATTATTGTAGGTTTGGAAAACATTGAAATAAAGTTTGACAATTGGATAAGATGCTTCTGTTCTCCAAATGTTAAAGAGTAGCTGGGAGAATCTGGTCACTCCAGGGTACTAAGACGTGCTCTTTGGGTTAGGCAGGGTAACTTTATGTTATGCTGTAGTAATAACTAAACCACAGGATCTCAATGGATTAACATAAAAATTGCCAAGTCTGATGCAGGTTGGGCACACTTCTCCATTCTGTAGCTCCAGCAGCTCCTGGGGTCTTTCTTTCTCTAGATCTTCCTTATGTCCTTTGCAGCTGCTCGAAAACATTGTTGGGAAAGGAGATCTTCCAGGAGAGGCCCCCTGTTTTGAGTCTCTTCCCACATTCTTGTGGTCTAGCCACTAAGGGTGAGCTCAGCCAGGAAAGGCTGTGAGGGAAGCCTGAGTGTGTGGCTCTTCAGTTAAGTCCAAAATGAGTGCTGTGGGTGGGGGATCTGGATTCTCGATGATGGGCTCTGAATCTATTCCTGACGATTTCGTGTAAGAAGTCTTTTGGTTTGGAGCCAGCTCTTTCTGTGTGTTTTAAAAAAATATTCTATTTATTATTATTATGTACTTCTCTATATGGAAAGGAAACTGGTCGCTTTAGAGCACTGTTCTAACTCAACCATGGCTACTTCTCCCTGGAAAGATTTTTTTTCTTTTTCTTTTTTTGTTATACCATAATTTATTCAATGTTCTTATAACGCCATTACAGAGACATAAGAGTTTTTTTTTTTTTTTTATAGGAAAGCTATTTAGAGATTGTGAGTTTATTGAAGGTCTCTGATTTAAATGCAATTCCCACACAAAATGTATTTTAAGGCAAAATGATCTTTGATTTTAGTTATTTTGCACAGGTGATATCATTGTTCACATTGGAACCACAAGGATTTATAAAAATTCTGGTGTGTCTTGCTAACTATTCCAACTCAAAATTTGGAAAAATATCCTATGTATGACAATGTGCTTCCACTTCAGAGTGTTAAACCCTAGCAAGAATTTCAAGCATGCCATGGTAAAATGGAAGAAATAACTACATTTAAGTAAATACTAAGCAACTGTTTGCTTTATGTATTTTTCCCAACTCTTCTAGTCTTAATAAGATTTTCTAACTATTTAAATTAAACTATTTAGTTGATTTAAGTTGAACCAATCCAAGAAGCAAGAAAGTAATTAAGTCATAACTTGAGAAAAATAGATGAGAATTAAATTGACAAAGTATGAGAGAAAAAAGGGAAATAAAAAGTTCTATTGATTTTTTTAGCTTCTAAAATAGTTCATATTTATCTACTTTGCATGTCTACACCACCTAGAGGAATGCAGTAGCTTCCTAATTGTTATATCTGTATCTACTCTAACTTTTGCATCTCTGATCTGTTTTCAATACATTAGCCTGCCAAGATGATCTTTTAAAATGCAAATCTATCCTATGACCTCCCTGCTTAAAATACTCTTAATCTTTCCCAATGTGTTTAACATAGACCAAAATCCTCACCAGAATAATCCTCACCTGCATAATCTGCTCCCTCCTTGTGTCTCTTGTTTATTTTCACTATAATGCCCTTTTCATTTTCCTAGGCTCCCAACCCATAGACCATTTATCATTTCCTTGAAAGTGCCAGGTTTCTCTTCCTCAGAGCCTTCCAAGATGTTATTTTCCCTGCCAGGAATTTTCCCTCCTTATTCCTCTATTTAAAATCCATTCAATTTATAGACCTCAACTCAATTATCACTTGGAACAGCCTTCTCTGACATCTCACCCAGTTTTCAGGCTAGATAAAATTCTCCTATGTAAGCTCTCAAAGCACCTTCCTATTATTTATCATTAGGTTAGTTTCAGTGTTCCATGAAAGCAAGAACTATTAATATATCTATTGTTATCTCAGCATTCTATTTCTAGAAACCTAGTACAATGCCTACTAGCACATAGTAGGTACCCAGTATTTGCTCAGTGGGTGATGGACAAAATCCTTTTAAGCTTTAACTTTCCATTTGAACATAGCTTTTAATTTTTACTATGTAATTTTTATAGAATTATTTTTAATTGACACATCATAATTATACATATTTATGGGGTACAGTGTGATATTTTGATATATGTATACAATGTATAATGATAAAATCAAAGTAATTAGTATATCCATCATCTCAAATATTTATCATTTCTTTGCCTTGGGAACATTCAAAATCCCCTTTTCTAGATATTTGAAAATATACAATTAGTTCTTGTTAACTGTAGTCACCCTACCATGGTTTTAGTGCTACAGAATACTAGAACTTGTCTTCTGTAGCTGTAATTCGATACCAACTTGGGCAATATATCGAGACCCCATCTCTTCAAAAAATTTAAAGAAGTAGCTGGGCGTGGTGGTATGCACTTGTAGTTCCAGCTACCTGAAGGCTGAGAGATTTGGATCGCTTGAGCCCAGGAGTTTGAGGTTGCAGTGAGCTACAATTATGCCACTGCGCTCTAGGTGGGGCAACAGAGTAAGACTCTGCTTCAAAAAAAAAAAATAAAGTGTCAAACGAACAACTTATTATATGTAAGAGACAATATACAGGCAAAAAGAAGCAAGAAAATGAGGATAGTGAGGATAGATTTGATCTCATGTTGCTAGAAACAATCACAGCCCTGGAAAAGAGGCTTCCTCACCTTAGAAAAAAGGGCTCTATTGGCCTGAGGGCAGGCAGCTTGTTTTTCTATTCTATTCTCACTTTCCCTGAAATTGATCTCTTGGTGTGATCGTTACTTTTTTAGCTCCAGGGGTCTACAAGCTTAAGTGGGTAGGAAGAAAAAGCTTCTTTTCAAAGAATGGTGTTGCTATTGGCAACAATTAACACTGCCCTCATTTTACAGGTTCTGACTTTTCACTCTAATAAAACTGCTGGTTGTCTATGTCAGATTTCATGACCAAACTGCTCCCATGTCTTTTATTCCTCCCGGAAGTTTCTTTTAGCTCTGGTCTAATGGTACTCCTTCTAGGATTCCAGGGTTAATGCAATTGTATTTTCACTCTGTCCTTAATTTTGTCAAAAATTATTTATGTTTTATTTTGCAATGTTTTCATCAGCCTACTCAGTTTTAACTGTGGACACTAAAATCTATCAATGTTCCCTTTCAGGTGTGGTACCCAGAATTGAGTGGAATATTCCAGTCATGTTGTGAGTGGATGGCAATATTATTTTACTTACTTATCTGACTATTATTGCTATTATTTATTGATCTCAAGTCACTGAATATTTGTAATTCCACTTGAAGTAGACATAGATAATCTTACTTCATTTTCCTAGGTGAGGGCCCTTGTTCTAGGCTGGTATTTTGTAGATCCAATCTTATTTTTAATTTTACTGGTCAAAATAATTATCTCCATATCCTCCCACATTAGTGCTTACTGCCACAAATTATCTAAAGCTCAGCTTAGAAAAGTTGATTTGAATGTCTCTACTTAAAGAGTGGCTCCACTGATTTTACAAAAGGTGCTGATAGACTCCAAAATCTGATAGATTTATTGTGTGATCATTTTCTCTGTAAGGTAAATTCCCCCTCTATTTGACAGTCCCCATTTTAAAATTGGAGCTTGGAGTCATGTATTACAGAGGGTGACATAGTATAGATTAGGGAAGAAAGAAACATGTTCAGTGGAAGTTTTTGATACATTTCTCTAAATATTAATAGTAGGAGAGCACCTATTAGCTTCCTGAGTCTGTATCTTTAGTCCTGCATCTGGCCTCCAGAGGGCGATGTTTCACAAACGAGACATCCCTATTTCCATTTATGATCAACACCTTCTGATCAGCCCCTCCTTCCTGCAGCTGGCTGACTGAAGCACCCTCACTGAGTTCTTTGAAGACGTGACAAGGGAGGAGAATCAGAGGTTAGAAAGCAGCCAGGATCATCTCAGCAGTTTTTGTATTTTTACTGGAACGAGAGACTTGTCTAGCCCAACCTTACTCACACCTCCTGTTTCCAAGAGCTGGGTTCCAAAGCCACTTTCCTGCTTGCTAAGAGGAGAATTTTCGGAAAGACGCCTGCAGCATCTCCACTGCTCAGCCATGCTTCCGTTGCTCATCCCAGTACTGGGAATGATTTTTGCCCTGAGTGAGTAACATCCAATTAGGGTCTCTAGTTCCACAGAAGTAACTGGTTTCTGATTCAAATCTCAGTAGAAATACTTTTCCGAGACAAGTCTGCTCTGCTCTTATGATATAACATTGATGTTTTAGGAGATGCCGGTGCCCAGTCAGTGACCCAGCCTGACGGCCATGTCACTGTCTCTGAAGAATACTCCCTGGAGTTGAGATGCAACTATTCCTACGGTGGAGCTTTTTATCTCTTCTGGTATGTCCAGTACCCTGGCCAAGGCCTCCAGCTTCTCCTTCAGTACTACTCAGGGAACACCCTGGTTAAAGGCATCAAAGGCTTTGAGGCTGAAGTCAGGAAGGACGAATCTTCCTTCACCCTGAGGAAACCCCGTGTGCACTGGAGTGACACAGCTGAGTACTTCTGTGCTCTGAGTGCCACAGTGCCTGGGACTGCAGGGGGAGCTGAACACAAACTTTGTGAGAGAGAATTCTAGGGAGGATGACTGTGTCTGAGAGATTTTGAATTCTGAGAAAGTAGAAGCCATGGTGCCCTTATTCTACAGTATGGAAGTTCTCAGGGACTCGCTGAGCTGGTCTGAGGCTGATACATTTTAAATGGTTGGATATGGAAATTGTGACTTGGCACAGGAGAGTTTTGCTTTTCATTCACCATTTTGTCTTTCAATAATCCAAAATAAATTGGGCTTCCTTTTGTAGGCATATCTTCTTCTTGCATACTTACTGCCTTCTCAAAACTCTGATATCTAGAAAGACTAGATGTTGTAAATTAGGACTTGTTTGTCCTCTCTATATCCTATATACACTGATAAGTAAAACAAAAGGCATAGACATAAGGGAAAATTGTTCACTTTGCCTTACTATTAATATAAGGACACTGGCGTGAAGCTCTTTGCACTTCCTTGTCCTCTCTCTTACCCTGAACCAGTGCGCAAACATAATGTCCACTACCCAAGAGGTGGTTTCTGAGATAGGGAACCTGCAAACCTTACTTAGTAAAGAGTTATAAGCCAGGAACCTAGGTCTCTGATAAAACAGGAAAGGTAGAGAAACCTGCCAAAACCAGTTGGAGCCCAGGTGGCCACTGAAAAGACCTCAGGTTATGCTCACTGCTGATTGTACACTAGTTATAATGCATTATGATGCTGAAGGAAACTTCCACCAGAGCCATGACTTGTTGCCTTGGCAAGTCCTGGAAATTACCCTATATGGTTTAAATGGGAGGGAACCCCAGGTCTGGAGACTCTCTACCCCTTTCCAAGAAACTCAGGACAATCCGCCCTTTGTTTGACACACAGCCAAGTGATAACCATAAAAATTAGCTGCCAGCTGCTTGGTCTATGAGGCAGCCATGTTTCTTTTTTCTTTCTGTTTCAATAAATTGCTTTCACGTTACTCTGTTGACTTAGTCTTGAATTCTTCCTCCAGCGAAGCCAAGAACCCACTTGGCCTTCAAGTGGACCCCAGTTTTGGGCTCCACCTTCCTGTATCAGTTTGACCATCCTCCTCCCAAACAACATTTCATATAAACTTTAATAAAAAAAATTTACAAAATGTGCTATTTCACTAACTTTACTTTTAACATCTTTCAGGCACTTCAGAACATCTAGAAAGACTAGATATTTCAAAAAAGTATGTAGCATTGTCAACCATACATACAGTAATGAGGAATCAAATGCACACACAAAATAATGGTTGCAATATGAAAATGTCCACCACAGCTGTTAGATCACCAAGGCGGGGTCTGGGAGAGGTTCGCAGCTGCTTCAGGGCCCAGGCCTGCCAGCCAACATCCACAGCGAGGGCTCCGGGTGTGCAGGGCAGAGGCCTCCGTCTGTATGGGGCGCTCCCACTCACTCACCGGTCCTGGGCCTAGGGCCGCCCTACCAGGAGCTTGCCGAGCTCCGTTTCTTACTGCACATTCTGACGAAACTTTATTTCTAAATGTTTGGATTTGTTTCTATTTTCCTGACTGAGTTTTGACTAATGTATCTGGGTAAATCCAAATCCTTGAAACAGATTTTCTGAGCTCTTGAAGTCAGGCAGTGTGAATAAGTCTATTATTAGCTGGGAATTAGCTTAAGCAACTTTTTTTTTTTTTGGTCATTAAGCATGGAGTTCTACCATATTCCACTCAAACCTGCTACAATTCTTGAATGACATTCATCTCCTTAGGAGCTCATGGTTTGGGAAAACACACTTTCTAAAAGCAATGGAGGGTTGCAACAACACAAAAGACAAGGTTACCTTGGAAAAAGTAAATGAAATCATGGAAAGTGAAGCTGTTCACTCAATATTTCTGCTTAGACTTCAGGTTGAGTGGGTTAAGGGCAATGAACAAGGCAGGGAATCAGGAAAAGGAGGAAAACACTGCTTGATCACAGAGATTTGATCCAGGGTAGCAGGGAAAAAAAAAGAGAGCTGTGAGTATAAATCTAACCAATAGCCAGACCTAAATTTTCTACCCAAGTCTGCAGCTTGTTATTGTTCATACCTTGATGCAGGACAGTGTAGCTGCCTTCTCTAAATTTGTGTAGAGTGAGCTTTCTAGGAAGCACAATTAAAAAGACTTCCATGTTCAAAAATTAATGTTAGTAGGGCCTGACAGAAAAAAGGCATTTTTCTTACCAAGCTTGTCCTGTGAACATTAAGAGATTTTTGTTATGAGTAGAATGAGCAAGAGTAGTGACAGTAAGCAGTATTTGTTTTAGCTACTGTGACTTCAGTACTACCATGAAAGAGAATGGTTTTAAAAATCTGTTGGAATTGGAGGCTTTTCCCATGCTGACGCTGGAAATTCGTCACTGAGACTTTGCCTGTCCACTTGGGTCACTGCTTCCAAAGGTTCTTTGGTAAATTTGTATAACACTGGCTGCATCACAAGCCACCTGAGGAAAATTTTAATTTCTATGACCTTAATTCTGAAGATTTTGATTTTATAAGTAAGTGGAGAGATTGCCAAATCTGTATTTTTAAGTTGATCACCAACTAACTCTTACATAGAAAGAAGTTTCATCCTTGTGGTAAGATGATTCTGCACATCAGCAGACATGTCTCTATCAGTCCTGGAATTGAGATTGAGTTTATTCTTTAGTCTTTTGATGAAAATCCATATTATATGAGCATCCTCTCCTGTGGTAAAAATAACTATTGGTCAACAATGCTGGCAGGTGGACATATGTAGAGAATATACTTAAGGCAAACTTTCCACTAAAAATTTAGTCACAGAACACTTTGCCTGATACACACAGGCTAATCACATTATCTGGGAATCATTAAAGAGAAGAAAGTAAAGCCAGATAATTTTTTTTTTTTTGAGACAGAGTCTTGCTTTATTGCCCAGGCTACAGAGAGTGCTGTGGCATCAGCCTAGCTCACAGCAACCTCAAACTCCTGGGCTCAAGTGATCCTGCTGCCTCAGCCTCCCGAGTAGCCGGGACTACAGGCATGCGCCACCATGCCTGGCTAATTTTTTCCATATATATTAGTCGGCCAATTAATTTCTTTCTATTTTTAGTAGAGACGGGGTTTCGCTCTTGCTCAGGCTGGTTTCAAACTCCTGACATCGAGTGATCCACCTGCCTTGGCCTCCCAGAGGCTAGGATTACAGGCGTGAACAACCTCGTCCGGCCAAAGCCAGATAATTTTATAGGTAATCAATAACTTTAATTACTGTATTTTCTCAATACTAAGAATTTGTCACTTTTTAATCAGTATATATGCAATATAGAATTTCCATTTTTCTTTGAAAAGCTTTTATTAAATTATATTTCTTATAATTTTCTTATTTTTGTCATCCCTCCCACCTTATAATTGTCTTAAATGTGAAGCAATATGGTGTTTCAAGTAGTAGCAATTCCTCAACCAAAGACTATTTATTCATTCATTTGTGTATTCAAGAAAAGTTTGTTAACTACCTGCTGGGTGTTTAACATTGTTTTAGATGTGGGAATAGAGTAGTGAAAATAAGTTTAAGTCTCTGCCATCCCAAATCACATACTATTCATTAAACAACTGTTATTGACATTTCTCTGATTTTATTCTAAAACTTGCTTATATAATATTGCAATGGATGAAAGGGTTGCCAAAATTGGCTGAATAAGAAAGAGTAAAGTGAATTCTTTCAGAAATGTGGTAGTCTGGAGCTTCCATGTCAGACAGTGTGCTGGGAAAAAATAGGGTTATGAGAAATACCAACTATTCTTTAGATTTACAAAGGACCATCAGACAGCTAACAGGTGTCTTAGACAGAAAGCCAGAGGTGAAGATAAAGGACTGATTTTTGAGAGGACAGACCAACAATCCTCTGAGTTAGTATCTTGCCCACAAGGGGGTGCATTTTCCTAACACATGCACATTTCCTGCTTTAATTCTGAGCTCACATTCGTCCTTTCACTGTGACCTTAACCTTTTCTCACACTAAGGAGTCAAGATCGAAGGACCTCAGAAGGCTCTAAAAATGAACTCTTTCCCAGGACCAGTGATTGTACTACTCTTAATGTTTGGTAAGTAAAATAGGGCTTAAAGCTTAGAGTCTTTTGTTCTATTATGTTGATGTAATCCTTAACCACAATTTCTTTCTAAGTGATATAGCCCAGATCATCACTAAGGTAACTGGCACTGTTATTATTATTATTTTTCTTCAGGAGGAAGCCACGGAGACTCAGTGACCCAGACGGAAGGCCAAATGCTCCTCACTGAAAGGGATTCTCTGATTGTGAACTGCTCCTATGAAACCAGCCAGTACCCTTCCCTTTTCTGGTATGTCCAATATCCAGGCGAAGGTCCACAGCTCCTCCTGAAAGCCATGAAGGCCAATGATAAAGGAATCAACAAAGGTTTTGAAGCCACATATAATAGAGAAACCACCTCCTTCCACTTGCAGAAAGCCTCCGTCCACGAGTCAGATTCAGCTGTGTACTACTGTGCTCTGAGTGACACAGTGACAGGAACCACAGGGGGAACTGAGCACAAACTCTGAGCTGCACAAGGGGCCCAGCTGCTGAGTATCTGACTCTGTGACCCACTCAGGTTTAGGGACCAGGAACTAGAGTACTACTGTGTTGTCCACCACTCACCCTAGCTACTCTTAGTGTGAAAGTCATCCAAATCAGTTCTAAGAACACAACAGAACAGCACGAAGTAAACATGCCTCACAGAAGATGCTTTAATGGTGAAAGTGAAAACAGAGTCTGTCACCATAGTTCCTCAGTCATGCCTGAAATTTGTGATTTTAAAAGTGTAAACTTTGAGGTGAATGAAATTGTCTCTGTGTTTATCCTTGCATAAAATTCTAGCCCCTTGACCTTGTCCCATATCATCTGAGGAAATACTGTGTTAACAGACACAGCTGTGGCAGATGAGGTTGCAAATGCTCAATGTCTCCCTGATAAGCTGGGGCAAGAAAGGATGATTTCTTAGGGAAGCTTCAGCCCAAGAAATAATAGGTTCTTAAAGGAAAAAAGAAATCTAAGAAAGGCAGGAGGGGGAAAGAGTCCACATGTGACCACATATATGCAAAAAAAAAAAAAAAAAAGACAGAACATTTCTTAGTTTCTTTTTGGGAAATTACATGTCATACATATAGGCTGGTGTTCTTCAAAAGAGGTGACTCATGCCTGAAAGTTACAGAAATCTCCAAACCTCCACAATATCTTAGTTAGGTGGCTTTCTATCATCAAGACAATACTTAAGCTAGATAGACAGTGTTGAAGAAGGAAGACTCTCTGGAGATGAAATTCTTTATCTGTAGATTTATGGAGAAAGGGAATCCTGTAGCTTCTTCAATGTTTTTCAAGCCATTTTTTCTCTACAGAAGGGGAGCAACATGTGGAGTAGGAGACGGTGCCTAGGGCTATCAGAAGAGGGCAGCAAAGGAGAAGAATCTTTGGTTTTAATTGCAGATATCTTGGTGTCTTTGAAAATATTAGAGGTTTGCTTGTCTATTGCAGGTGATTAACATATATTAGTTTATTTACCCATGTAGAGTACATTTTGCTTGTTAGAAGGGTCCTTGAGCACAAAACGTGAGAATAAAAGGATGGTATGCATGAGTCTCTGTTTCAGAGGCTACAGAAGAATGCAACTATGCAGAAATCCTCACTGTCATTGAAGAGACTGTGCCCATAAATCCTTCATTTTCATAATTATCTTTTATTAATTTTCACTCTTATCTTTTTCTTTTTTTCAGAGCTCCCTCCCCATAGGTCTTATTGATTAATTGAGCTAATACTCATACAAAACAAATAATTTATGTACACAGGAAAATCAACTTTAGATAGTAAAAACGACTATACAAAAAGCCTCGGACTTTTGGCTGAGTTCAGCAGATTGAATATATATGTTAAATTCTGCTCCCTCTGAAATCTCAACAAAAAGAAACTAAGGTTATTTGAAAGGCAAAATTCCATGAGCACAAAGAAAATGGAAAAGGAGAAGACAGCAGATGAAATGTCAGCAACATCTGAAAAGGTGAAAAAGAGTTGTAAAAATCGATAACACACTGAGAAAGCTTGAGACATGTGAAACTAAAGTTTGTAGAAGGGGAATCTAGGAAGAAGCCTCCTGATTTGTACGGCAGCATTCTAGCAAGGCCCAGAAATTGGAAGCAACAATTACCTTACATTTGAATACTGGGAGAAGATGATGCCATGGAAGGGTAAGTGGTTGGGATTAAAATCAGAATTTTTAAAAAGATTTTATAAGTAGCAGTTAAACCCCCATGTCCTCCACTCTCTTGTACAACAGCAACTCTCACTCACCAAATATGACAAGAAATTAAAGTTTTACTCTTTGAAAGTAGCCTCTAATTTGGCAGACACCAAATAAGTCTGAGGGCAAAGTTAGGTGTCAAATTAAAAATAGGGAATTACATCAATTTCTGTGTTCTGAATTGGGACACCTTCAGCTCTGCTTACATTTAGCTTTTATTTGGATTTCTCTAAGTGGATATATGGCAAGAGAGTTACTGGAGTATTCCTTTCAGTGAAAACTATGATAAAATAGCCTTTCTTTAGTCTACCACACACATAAACCTTAATTAGCATTTTAGTCCTCAACAGAAAAATAAGCAGTCAGAGATAACAGATTGTTTACTTAAGTCTCTAATGGGAAGAACAGAGACAAAGAAATAAAAAAAACCCAAAAACAAAACAATGAAAAAATAAACAAGTACAAAGACCCCAAAATGACTCAGAGAGTGGCAGAGGCAATGCAAGTGGCAAAAGAAAATAAAATCAAAACTAAACAAAGCCAAAACAAAAACATAGAGGAACCAGAAAGCAAGAGGAGGCTATAAAAAGGGACATTTATTTAAGCACATAGAAACTTTAGAATATAAAAAATATGATAGCAGAAAGAAAAGAAGAAGAGAGTGAGGATAAAGCTTAAATTGGGGTGGGTTTAAGAGATAACAGAAGCTAGGAATTAGATGTAGTAGCATAGACAACCAATTGGAGGAATTTTGTAGAAAGATGAAAAGAAAATAGGGATAGATGGATAATAACATGCAAAAGGATGAAGTTGGACCTTTTTAAAATACAATATGTAAAAATTGTCTAAATGTATCATAGACTGGAAATATAATAGCTAAAATTATAAGTAAACATAGGAGTAAATTTTCATGACATTGAGTTGGACAAAGCCCTCTTATATATGACACCAAAAATGCAAGCAATGAAACAAAAATAAGTAGGATTTCATCACAATTAAAAATATTTGTGCTTCTAAGTACATCAATAAAGTTACGAGGTAAACCAAAAAGAGAGAATATATTTGCATGTCATACATTTCATTAGGCAGCTTCATCCAGAATATGTAAATAATCTCTTACAACTCAATAATAAAAAGGCAAATAATCTAATTTAAAAATGAGCACAGGATCATAATAGACTTTTGTCCAAAGATGATATGCCAGTGGCCAATAAGCACATGAAAAGATGCTCAACATCATTAGTCTTTATGAAAATGCAAATAAAAACTATAATGAGATATCACTTAATTTCCACTAAGATGGATAATATTAAGGACAGATAATGTAACAAGCATTGACAAGGATGTGTATAATTCGAAACTTCATGCATTGCTGGTGAAAATGCAAAATTGTGCACTTCTTTGAAAAAGACTAATTCTACTTATAGGTATATGCCAAAAGCAAATGAAAACATATACCCACAAAAAATTGTACACAAATGTTCACATCAGCATTATTCATAATAGCCAAAAGGTAGAACATCCCAAATGTCTGTCAGCTGATGAATGGAAACAATAAAATGTAGTATATCCATACAATGGAATATTATTCTACAATGAAAAGGAAGTACTGATAAATACTATAAAATGGATGAATTTTTAAAATATGTGAGAATAAAAGAATGACGTCAGCTGCAAAAGACCACGTATTATATGATTGTTTGTAAATGAAATATCTAGAATAGACTAATACACAGAGACATCAATTTTTCACTGTATCTACACTTTTAGTTTCCTAGGAGGTAGGAAGGTGGGGGGTTGGGAGGAAAATAGGGGTGACTGCTAAGGTAGCATTAAATAGTGTCTTGCCTTTTTATCCACTCTGTCAATCTCTGCCTTTATATTGGCAAGTTCAGACAATTAAAACTTAATATAAATACTGATGTCATTGGTTGGATTTAGGCATATTATTTTATTGTGTTCTGCTTCACCCATATGTTCTCCTTTCCCTTTTTCCTGGATCCTTTTGGATTATTTGAATATTTTTTAATACTACATTTTAATTTATCTATTGGCTTTTTGGCTGTATCTCTTTGTACTTTTTTGAGTGGTTTCTCTGGAGATTATAAGATACATGCTTAACTACTCAGAGTCTCCCCAGTTAATACTGTACATCTTCACGTAAAATGTAGAAATCTTGCACAACACATCTCTTTATCTACCAACACTGAAGTTTTAACTATAGTTGTTCATGCATATTACATCTATATACATTGAAAACTTCAGTATGCAATGTTATGATTTTTGCTTTAAACAAGTGAATGTGCTTTATAAAACAAGAGGGAGAATAAGAAATATTTTCTATTTAACAGCTGTTTACCATTCTGGTTTTCTTCCTTTGTTTCTGAAGATTCAAATTTTCCTCTGACACCAGGGAATGTGTCTAAAATGCATTTTCCTTTAAACCTGAAACACATCCTTCAGTATTTCTTCTAAAATAGGTCTGCTGGCAACTGCAGTTGACGCTTAAACAACATGGTGTGAACTGCACGAGTTCACGTACACGCCAATTTTTTTTTCAATCAAATGTGGATCAAAAATACAGTATTTGTGGGATGCTAAGTCCCCGAATACAGAGGACCAATTTTTCCTATGTGTGAGATCGCGGGATTTGAGTATGTGCGTGTTTTATTATACACTGGCGTTCCGGGAACCAATATTCCATGTGTGCTGAGGGACGACTGTATACTTTTTACTTGTCCATTATCTGAAAATCGCTTTATTCTTTATTTCACCTTTATTTAGGAAAGACATTTTCACCGGATCTGTAATTTTGGATTGACATTTCCTCCCCTTCACTTTAAAGAAGCTGTTTCATTGTCTTATGGATTCACTTCTGAATTCAGACATTTTAAAAACTGGTTTCTCAGTGAGGTAATTTACTACGTTGTTTTTACATGACATCCCATTTCTAATGGACTTTAGGACTAATACACCATTACAGATTTGGGAAGGAAGAAAGTTGTGGAAGTTTTTTGTTTTTAAAGTCAACAGATATTCATTGTGGTCCAACTATATACAAGGCACTTTTTCTAAGCACTTGGAATATATCTGTGAACAAAATAAAATTATCTTTGGTTTTGATACATCTCAGAAAATAGGCACACTAATGAGCTCTCTGTACTAAACTCTGGTTCTGCACCTGGCCTCCAGAGGGCGATGCAGCACAAACGAGAGATCTTGTTTCTGTTTCAGATCATCATCACTGCTCAGGTCCTCCTCCCTGCAATT